CTCCTCCTCCTCCTCCTCCTCCTCCTCCTCCTCCTCCTCCTCCTCCCCCTCCTCCTCCTCCTCCCCTTGGGGAGGGGGGGGGGCTGTCGCGGCCACCGCGGCCCGGGTTTTTCTCCTGGGGGCCCCCGCCACCACATCGCCCCCCTCGCTGCCGCGGATGCGCGCGCCTGGCGCCGGCGGCCAGCACGGCCTGCCGGCAGAGAGAAGAAAAAAGGAGGGGAGAGAGGGAAGAGAGAAGGGAAGGGAAGAGAAAGAAGGCAAGGGGAGGGGGGGAAAGAGGCGTGGATGGGGAAAACAGAGCGAGAGAGAGAGAGAGGGAAGGGAAAGAGAGGGGGGGGCAAGGGGAGAGGGAGAGGGAGGGGAGAGGGAGGGGAGAGAAAGCGAGGGGAGGGGGAGGGAAGGGAGGGGAGGGGGAGGGGCGAGGGAGAGGGGAGAGGGCGGGAAGAGGGGGCGACGGACAGAGGCGCACATGCGCGCCAGACGCGGTCCACCCATGAGCGGAGCGTGGACGCCGCAGCGTCCAGCATGCAGGCTGATTGGGAAATAGGGAGAGAGGAGGGGATGGAAGGGGGGGAGAAGAGGGAGGGGAGGGGGTCTGCGCAGTGGCGGCCCCAATCGCCTCAGCGGGCGCTCTCGTGAGTGGCCCGACCTCTTCCTTCAATGTCGATCGATCAAGTGCCCACCGTGGCGAAGATCAAACGGCCACCCGACAAGTGGCTTGGCCAAGCGAAGAAAGGGGAGGGACGGGAGGGGAAAAAGAGAGAGGAAGGGAGGAAGAAAGAGAGGAAAAGGGGGGAGGGGAGGAGGGAAGGAGGGGAGAGAAGGGAGGAAGGGAGGGGAGGAGGGAGGAGCCGAGCGTCAGAAGGGTCAAAGTCTCTTGAAATCTACCCTGATCCGCCACCCTTCAGAGGGGAATGAAGCGACACTGCGGTGGGCGAAGCCCCATGAATATCAGCGCTTACATGGGAGGCTCCCGAAGCAAGCGGGGACATGGTAGGCGCACGCGAGGAAGCGGAAGGCGCAGGAAAGCACCTCGAAAGAGACGGAAAACGCCGCGAAGTCGCACTCGAACTCGGTGCCAAGGTGGAGAAGAAGCGCCCCGTAGTGTAGAATTTCGCGTCGGCAATCGGGCTGGCATGTCCACGGAATCGCTCTCAGACAAGGAATCATCCTCCTCCACTCGCGCGTCGACGGCAACTGGAGGCCCAGCTAGAGCAGCCGCCAGGACTGCGAGTGAGGTACTGCAGCGGCGCAGTTGGACAAGGTCTGAGCGCCGTAAAAAAGACGCACCAGGAACCGACCAGTCGTCTGCGGCAGGGTCGATATAGCCACGGAGCGAATCGGAGCCACCACAATGAAGCGCACCACGGACCGGAAGATGACGCGGGGCGTCGCACCAACAGAAAAGAACATCAGGAGGCAGCTCTTCATCGTGCTGTCGGCCAGCAGGCGGTGCATGCGAGCGCACACGCCCACTGTGTAGAAGCTCTTCGTCCAATGAGTCGTCAAACGCCGAATTTCAACCCCCCGATGCGGAAACCAATGGCCCAGCAGACGCATCAACACCAGCACGAAGACGCTCACCACGCAGCGGCGCATCACGCCGAGGATCAGCAGGCAGCGCGGGGCGTTGCTCAACATGGTCAGGTTCGTCAGCCCGCTTATGTAGAGCTGCACGTTCAACCAGGGCGGGGACGGCACCACATTCATGCAGATCAGCGCTTTCAGGAGGAAGACCGGCACGGCCCTCAGGAGGCTGTCCTTCATCATGTTGTGGATCAGCAGGCGGCGCATGCGAGTGAGACTGCCCATTGTGTAGAAGCTTTTCGTTCAATCAATCGGTAAAGGCCGAATGGCAATCCCCCGTCGCGGAAACCAATGGCTCAACGGACGGATCTACAGCAGCACGGATGTGGAACATCACCACCGACCGACTGTCCCAAGCATTCTGCATCCCCCATCGCGTGCACCTCAGGATCACTGTGTCCAGTGGCACGGGCGTGCCACATCGTCGCCGACGATGGAGGAGCGTCCGCGAACTCTGGGGAATTATGGCAAAGACGAGCATGTTAATCAGCAATCGCACTGTCGGGCACATCCGAAAGATGCGAGTACTTGCACCCGTCTCCACGAGAGCAGCGAGGAAAGAAACGGCATGCAGGACGCGTCGCAATCCTCGGGCCCACCCCCGAACCTTCAAGCAGAAGAAAGCGACAGCCAAAGACGGCGCAGGAGCGCCCTGAACATTCGCAGCGGCACAGTCGCCAGGATCAGGAGACAGCACGTCTCCCCAAGCAGCGGTTGCATCGGCAGGAGTTCGATCCAGAGCAGCAGCATGAAGGTCCACGTCAGGTGGTACGGCAGCACCTCCAACAGGAGGAACGCCAGCCGCGCAAGACACGTCGACCGTGGACTGAACGAGCTCGGGAGGAATTCCAAGCAGAACGGCAGCACCGCCACTCAAACCGGCGGCGCCAGCAGCGTAAGCAGGACGACCAAC